TCTCTTGATCTAACTCTTTATACTATGTTTTAAATGTATTCACCTACTCTTACCCTTCAATCTATAATTGTTCCCCTGCTATTAATCCGATAATAATACTCACTTATGTTGATTTATGTTTCATATTACTGAACATTTGTGCGTAGTGTAGGAGGGAATAAAATCTCCTTTACGTTTAGTGATGATTTTCGTAAAAATTTCTTCTTTGTTTATGTCTGTTAAAGTGGGTACTTTGAAACACTTAAAGGTCCCAAGAGTATATGTCTTTTAAGTACAAAGTCATATTGCCAGCTAAAGTCTTAATGCGTTTTCATCCTTCAAGAACGGAGACTTGATACCAGTGAAAGTATACTGAATCTTTTGAAAGACAGTGCCGTAAACTTAATGAAATCCTTCAAGTACTTTCGTTTTCCGACCCACGGTCATTCAGTCAAGACAAGCTGTAGAAGTGTGATGTCTTCTAAATAGAATGTCTTCAATTTAGTCTGCCTTATGGCGTCTTCCTATCTCTTGTAATCAGCGCCTTACTGTAAGTTTTATTGGTGTAGTCTTCATGCCGCCCTTTGATGTAGTGAGTGAAAAAGTTAGTATTAGTCAACGAGTCTTTATGTTTCTTTTTAGCAAGATTCGCAGAGTCAGCGTTGTGTGTTGTAGTCTAGGCATGTCTCAAAACCGTTGTCACAAAGTCACTTAAAATTTTTAAGGCGTCATGTGTGTTAAAGCCATTACCATAAAATAAGTGAATCTTGTTAAGAGATATCAGGTGAAACTCAGAGTCATGAAATCAAGAGGAGTTCAACAGTGATGAACACTATTGTGTATTGAAGTGAAAGTCTTTAAGGAGGTGCGGGCGTGGGTGTGAGCATTTGGCAAAAAATAAATAACATCTGATCTCAGACCCACAACCTCAAGATAGGTTAGGAAAGTACTCTACAAGAGCGAATCCCACAATACGTGAGAAAACAAAGTGTCTACCTTGTTGTAATATGAGTAGAATCGAGATTTTTTTAAATTTACCTTGGCCTCTGAATCACATATAAATATGATTTAATTGTCAGTGCTAATATCATTTGTCAATCAGAACAATAAAAGAATTCAACAAATGCTAAATGAGAGACCGGTTGGATGGGAGGTCCGTTTTGATAGCAAAATATCAACGAATATTCTATGTGGATTACAATAGTTTACATATTTCGTGGATTCCACCAACAGTGTACTATCTATCTCGGCGAATGTATGATTGTGATAACTCGACACTAAATAAAGATATTACTTTGAAACATGAGCCTAAAATCGAATTACCAGATGTTTTAGATCTTACCCTAGATCACCCACACCCTCAGAGTTTTTACTGATGCATGATTTGAGTGAATGGGAAGATTTATTGGAAGTTATGACTGAACACATAACACTAACATTTATTGAATCAAATAATAGTGCATGCTAATATTCTGACCCACAACACTGTTCATATATTGTTAACGAAGAAAGCAAAACACTACAGTTCAATACTTATTCTGTTCAAGTAAAAAATATTTTTCTTCAGAAGATCAATTATTAGTTGTAGGATATTTTATCATTTCAAATATTAGTCAAAATGAATTCGATGTTGGGAAAGCTAATATTTCATATTCAATGTTCGGATTTATTTCAAAATTCTTTTAAACAAATCATACAGTTTAAATCCTTTCAATTGCGGAAACATTTTGTTGAAAGTAGTCTTGTGGATGAATTGTATGCCACTTTCTAGTTAAAAACAAAACGTTTCATACTGGTTTGAATTACTGTATCAGAAGATGATTGAAATAGAATTATTTTTCCAATTTAGTGAGAATTATGCTTCCATAAGTCAATATTCATCGAACACGTATTTTCAGTGAGTAGTTGAATCAATAAAAAGAAAATTTGCTCTGATAGTATTCATATTAAAGATTTATTGGTCACTGAATAGCCATGATGATCTGTCACAATGTTAAACTTCCTCTTAAATTTCCAGTTTTACTGCAAATATTTATTTACAAAGAAATTCATATTAGATCAATTAGAATTAGATAATATTGCTCATGAATATTACATAGAAGCAAAACTATGTGGGAACGAGCTAACACATCAATTAATAATCACACAATTTTTAAAGACAGTAGGAAATCATACGATACAATTACGTACTGGCTTTAATGAGGTGAGTTGTATTTTATTTGTTTGAAATAGAAACATTATACTCAAGTTTAATGCATCTACTGACTCGTATTCATGTAGGTAATACCACTCGAGTGGTTAGAATTGCTAATACTAAAGACATTCAAATACTCTTGACAGATCATTCTACTCGACCCTTTGACGAGGAAACGCAATATTTTGTACCAATACAGCAACAGAACAAAAGTTCACATGAAAATATTTGTCAAACTCCTGGTTCAAATGTTTATCAACCACATATCAGAATCGTTCGTACAGCCGACAATATCATTCAAAACCATAACTCCTATATCACTCCGGAAGAAGAATTAGAGATTGCAATGAATCTTTACTTTAATAGTGATTTCACAACAGAAGAGAAACAAATAGAGATGGTACTTTATCTCTATTTCAATAGTCCCTCTATAGAAGAAAAGGAACTAGAGATTTTAACTTACCTTTTCTTTTCTTAATATCATAATAACATCTAAGTTATAAATTACTGGGTAAATTAATCTTCAACTAAACTAAACCATTGATGTGAACATATGAGCTGAAGCAATTGTAAAACTTTATCTGAATGACATTTAATTGTGCTTCTCATGAGTTACTACTTTTTTAAATTGTGCTTGTTTGATTCAATTGTACTTTGCTTGATATCACAATCAAATACTAGGCATCTGGTGGATTCATCAAAAAGCCAATGAAATCTTTTTAGTGCAAAATCTTCACCGACCATGAAGCGATTATGTATTCGACTCTTTCCATTAAATTCACGTACACCAACATTTACACTTATACGAATCATAAAATATGGCAAGCTGCAATCTATTTTAATTTCCCATAGTCACTTTATTGAACAGGGATGTCGGTAGTCGCATTTAAATATGAATACTTTTGGAAGTTGAGATATTTTTAGTTAAAATTATTCTCTGCTACAATTGTAATTAATTTTCTCAAAATTAGCCAAACGAAAAAGGGTATGTTCTCTTTTGTGAGAATAGTACACTTTTGTTCTCAGAAAACTGACGTATCTCGTGAGCAGAGCAATACTTTTGTCAAAAAAATTACATTCAAATTCTTAAAAATATTCCTCCTACAAGAATATCATCGATTTCGCAATATATGACGATATCTTTTGAGGAGCTCCTCGGATAGGCGACCATAACTTATTGATCGAATCAAATCGAATATACGATTGATTTCTTCTCATACTAATTATTGCATTCATGTCTTTGAAACTAAAGAAAAGCGTGCGTGCATATCAAAAGAAATCAATATTGAAAGTATACTGTACTGTATTTCTATTTACTACTGCCGTATGAAATGCTTTTGTTCCTTCGACGACACATTTATGAAATGATTTTGAAATTCATCTTTCGAATGTTTATGCAGCAATTCAGTAGAATCTATGTCTAAACATGTTAAAATGTAAATGCCATATTTTTACTTTTCAAATGTTTGACAGTTTTATCCAAAAAATATTCTTTTCTTTGAGCAATGCCTTGAATTAACTTTGAAACTGGAAATCAGTTCACGTATTCTTTCGATCGAATCTATTCTCAATTAAAAAACTACTTCTTTCGATTTTTTCTCAACGCAAGTTTTATTCAACTATTTTACCATTTAGAAAAACTTCAACTGAAATATGCGACTGAGACAATTTTGCTTTTTAGTTTGTTTTATTTTTCGAAAACATACAAACGATAAATTAGTATTTGAAGAAATCACTAGAGAAAATGATTAAAATCAAAATAGATTATGTATCATACTGATTTTCAACCATACTTGACGAGATTAATGATCAGCGATTATTTAAAATACTTTTTTTACTTTATTAGTATCTGGTGATTGTACTCTAAGATAGTCAATTTTACGAAATATTGCAGCACATTGAACTTCGATTATCCACTCGTAGAATACTATTGTTGGTTTTGATCAACGTCAAGAATTTTCCTAGGAAAGACTGCTTTTCTTGAAATCGCTAATTATATCATCTATTTTCATCGCTTGTGGTACTATTAGCTAGCTCATTCCTCATGTAAACTTTTATAGTGCACGTTTTTACTACACACTAAATTCTAATAACTGTTTTTCTTTTTAATGCTAGTGAAATGAATCATTTACACACTTTTACATTTCGATAAACTATCCATGGAATCTATATAACAGTATCTAAAGTGCATAAAATGTAATTAGTTAATCTTTCGTTCAGAAATTCCTTGTATTTGTCCCAATCATTTTTACTCTTTTTACACAGCGTAACAGTAATGCATTCTGATTGTGTTTTATGCAAAAAATTGAGATTTTTACATTACATCGATAATCATAGTTTATTTGTGATCTTCATACGCATATTATCGAATGCTAACGAGGAGATCGTCGCATTAAGATAATCGGATTAGAACAATTAGCATTGCTAAAAGCCTTGAAAATTTCAATCATGAGTTTTGTGTTTTTTTCTCTTTTTTTTATGGATGACAATCATGCATTCTTTCATTTACTTTAATTCTTTTCGTTTTTCTTCTTCCTAGCTACTACTCCTTATTTAATGCGCAGAGATTTTGCCTATTGGCTAGTCATTATTGTTTCACCAGCAATAACACTCTTCAAATAATTGAACAAAGGGTCGGCACAATAATTTATCGAATTTACTTAAAGCAAACACTGAAGAAAAGTGAAAACTAAAGGAAAAGCAATCAAGCAAAAATATTCGGAGAGAAAAAGACAGACAGAGGAAGTCTATTTTGTTTTGCGTTCTATCATCGGTGATCAACACACCTTGTACATTTTTATTTTGTCACTTATTATCCTTCGTCAACATGGACAAAAAAAAATATACAACAGCAACCACTGCGACTACCAGTAGTAGTGACGCCACGAAAAGCGCTAACCATTATGACATACTGACCCAACCTGCTCATCGAGTGCTTCAAAACTTCGTATTAGTTTGGCTCGATGCAAATTTGAACGAATACAAGAAAGACTTTAAACTATCACTACAACACCTACGACAGATTGTATCATTTATCACAACATATACGAATGTTCAAGAATGTATTGACTATATCAGTAAACTCAAAGAAGAAAAAGTATTTATGATTGTATCCGGCTCCTTGGGACGCAAGATTATCCCAGACATTGTATCGTGGCCGCAGTTAGACTCAATATATATTTTTTGTGAAAATAAATCTTTTCATGAACAATGGGCAGCACAAATAGACAAAGTAAAAGGTGTACATACTAAAATCGAATCGATTTGTGCAGAATTACAAATCGATTGTAAAAACTGTGATCGAAATATGATATCGATAAGTTTCAATGGTATTGATCCATTGTTTATGTATACTCAACTATTAAAAGAAACCCTATTGGATATCGAAGATGACGATACCAAATCGATCAAAGAACTTGCTGAGTATTGTCGTCATAAAGGTGATATACCTGAAGGAGAAATCGATAAAATCGAACGTGAATATCGTAATCATTCACCCATTTGGTGGTATACAACGCCATTTTTTGTATATTCGATGCTTAACTATGGTCTTCGATTAATGGATGTTGATATTATTCTTAAAATGGGCTTCTTCATCCGCCATTTACACCATGAAATAAAAACGCTACATAAAGAACAACAATGTAGCATGAAAATGACAGCACCATTTCAAGTTTTTCGCGGTCAAGGTTTATCAATCGAAGATTTTGAAAAGATGAAAAAAGCCAAATGTGGACTCATGTCTTTCAACAATTTCCTTTCAACAAGTCGTGACCGTAGTACTGCACTAGATGAGTTTGCATTTACAGCAATGGCTTCTGATTCCAATATAGTAGGTATCGTATTCGTCATGAACATTGACCCAAAATTATGTGCAACAGCATCAATTCCGTTTGCTGACGTGAGCACACAGAGTTACTACAAAAGTCAGGAAAAAGAAATTCTATTTGCAACACATACAATTTTTCGCATTGATCGCATCGAATCAATTCAGCATGAGCAAACTAATCGCCTATGGCAAGTGAATCTCACTCTGGTGGACAACAATGATCACGAACTTGACGAACTTACATCTCACATACGACAAGAGGTCAAGTTGGCGTCAGGATGGTCGCGACTTGGCGAAATCCTGATTAAACTTGGACAGTTTGAAAAAGCAAAATATCTTTACCACATCCTGCTTGAAAATAAACCTTCGTACATAGATCAAGCAAACTACTATCTTCAACTTGGCCGGGCGTACCATCATATGGGTGACTTACCAGCAGCGCTTTCTCAATATGAAAAGTCACATGAACTTCAGAAAGAATATCTTCCTCCGAATCATCCTGACTCTGCTAACTATTACAATTGTATCGGAGAAGTACAAAGAGCCATGGGCCACTATCCAGAGGCACTTTCTTTTCACAAGCGAGCACTTAGCATTCGAACACTAGCTCTCCCCCCGAATCACCCAGACTTAGCTGCTTCTCACAACAACATCGGTTTGGTCTATCAAAAACAGCGCGAGTATTCGAAAGCGCTCAAATCGTATCAACAAGCACTTGAAATTAAGAAAATGACTCTCCCTCCAAATCATCCTTCATTGGCTGCTTCCTACAACAATTTTGCTTCGGTGCATTATGACAATGGCGACTATTTGGAGGCGCTTTCACGGTACAAACAAGCATTTGATATTCAAACAAAAGCTCTTCCTCCGAATCATCCCCAACTAGCTACTTCACACAACAACATCGGTTTGGTCCACAAAAAGATACACGAGTATTCAAAAGCACTTTTATCATTTGAGCGATCACTTGAAATTCGAAAACTAGCTCTGCATAAAAATCATCCCGACTTGGCCACTTCTTACAACAATATTGGTGCGGTGTATTGTAACATGGGCGAGTACTCGAAAGCACTTGCATCGTATAAAAAATCACTGGAAATCAAAAAAATAGCTTTATCTTCGAATCATCCCAATTTGGCCAGTTCCTACCACACCATCGCTTCTGTCTATGATTATATGGGTGACTACTCTGAAGCACTTTCATGCTACGAAAAGTCACTTGAAATTAAAAAAACACTTTTCCCTCCAAACGATAACAGACTGGTGGCATCCTACAACAGCGTCGGTGCAATTTATTATAAAATGGGCGAGTACTCTAAAGCACTCTCATCGTATAAACAAGCAATTGCAATAATGGAAATGACTCTCCCTTCCAGTCATCCCGATTTATCTGCCTCTTACAGCAGCATCGGTTCCGTATATAGAAGTATGGGTGAGCACTCGAATGCACTTCTATACTACGAAAAATATGTGGAAGCCAGCGAAGAAACTCTCTCTCCGAATCGTTCCTCAATGGCCTCTACCTACAACGACATCGGCTTGGTGTATTATAACATGGGTGACTACTCAAGGGCGCTTTCATCTTATGAAAAGGGCTTAGAAGTCAGTCGCGAGACGTTGCCATCGAACCATCCCGACGTGGTTGTTTTGTATAGCAGCATGGGTTCTGCATATAAAAGCATGAGAGAGTACTCAAAGGCACTTCAACACTACGAAAAATATTTGGAAATCAGTCAAGAAACTCTCTCTCCGAATCATCTCTCAATGGTCTCTACCTACAACGACATCGGTTCAATTTATTATGACACCGGCGAGTACTCTAAAGCACTTTCATGGTACCAACGAACACTCGAAATTCAAACAGAAGCACTTTCTCCGAATCACGTCGACTTAGCTACTTCCTACGATAGAATTGGTTTGGTATATTATAAAATGGGCAAGCATACAGAAGCACTCTCGTCGTATGAACAATGTCTTGAAATTCGAAAAATAGCTATTCCTTCGAACCATCCCGACCTTGCTACTACCTACAACGACATTGGCTCGTTGTGTAGAAGCAGAGGCGAGTATTCCAAAGCACTTCTATATTTTGAAAAAGTTCTGGAAATCAGTCAGGAGACTCTGCCTTTGAATGATCTTAGTTTAACTACTTCCTATAATAACATCGGGTGGCTGTATAAAAATAGAGGCGAATATTTAAAAGCACTTCCATACTATGAAAAAGATCTAGAGATCTGTCTGACAACTCACGGTGCCAATCATCCTGACTTGGCTACTTCCTACAACGACATTGGTTCGATGCATAGAAACATCGGCGAGTACACCAAGGCACTTTCATATTACGAAAAAGGTTTGAAAATCAGTCAGGATACACTTCCTCCAAATCATCCTGATCTGGCTACTTCGTACAGCAGCATTGGTGCGATGTATTATAAAATGGGACAGTTCTTGAAAGCGCGTTTATCATACGAACGAGCACTTGAAATCCGAAAAATAGCTATCACTCCGAATCACTCCGAATTGGCTGCTTCTTACAAGAATATCGGAATGGTATATGAGAGCATGAGCAAATATTCGGAAGCACTTTCTTGTTACACAACATCGCATGATATCTTGAAAAAATTACTACCTGCAAGTCAGCCACATATTGCAACTTTGAAAAAAAGTATTGATAATGTTAAAAAAAAGTTATGATCAATATCAATTTCTTCTGTTGATAACAGTAAATTACTTTGGTCATTTTCGTGAAAAGTCACGTCTGCTTTTGATTCACGAGTCCGAGTTGTTGTTCTTGCTAATGTACGCTATATCAGACATATGCTCTCGAACATACTTGAGACCGGCCAACAACACTCAGTTAGCTCGAGTGTTTGATGTGTTCTGAGATATGAGCATCGCTAAAGAGGAGGTCTATGCCCACACCCTGAACTCATGATGTGTGTGTCATCCAGAAAACATCCCGTTTCCGTTGCATCTCAGGTAACATGCTATTGTTTTGAATTTTGCGGGTGTGTGTGCGGGAGCGACGCGTATGCATATGTGTATTGGTATTAGGGTGAGCAAAGATCGACACCTATCACATGTGAAAAAAATATTCCCAGGAGAATTGCGGTCCGTCGGATCTTGTCGGACGGCTTTTAAATCCATTCATACCCGGTCATCGGATCCGGTCGGGACGTTTCTGCCAGAATCCGATCATATTCGTCATTTTTCTTTCATATTCGGTTACCGGATTCCATCCACTCCGACCGGACTCATGTAGCCAGAACCTATCGGATCCGATGTCCGAATCTCGCCAGATCTAACGTGATTCGGGATTGTCTGGTACCAAGAATCGAGCGGAATTAATCGTTTGAGATAATCCCAAAATCCAATTAACATTAGTATGTCGGAACCGATCGGAAACAAATAACGTAAATCGGACTTGTGTTAAAATCCTTGTGGCAGAATTCCGACTGCCGGATCCGATAGAATTCCCATGATTTTTATCGGATCTTGATAAGATTTGTTGATCAAACGAAATTCGATCGATATAGAATCAAAATCCGGTGAAAGGATCTTTTCTTTTGGAATTTCATCACAAACTTCCTCGAATACTGGTATCAGAGTGTGGTGAATTATATAAGTATCAAGAAGGTTCATTCACCGCATTTTATCACGCTTCACATTATAGATCCAATGAGAGTCACTATTACGCGGTTATCGGAAACACTCAAAACATTTTGTTAACAACTGCGCTAAGTAGCTGGCATTTGGTGAGAGCAATAATAACGAATAACTCGATTCTGAAATCGTCGCTCAGCAAATTTTAGTGAAGAAAATAAATTGAACGAATAATTTACGAATATCTAAATGAAAGGTGATATTGTTTGTTGAATGTAAGTAGTCAAAATATATTTAAAAAATATCAAGATAGTAATAGCATTCATCTGAAATACTTTGGATTGAGCAAGAGAGAAATTTTCAAAATCAATTAAAAAATTATAGAATGGCACTCAATTTTACATTAACAGACCGAAAAAAAACTCAATTTCACTTTTATTTTTTATCAATTCTAATTTGTTCTAATCAACTGTTGGCGTTGAATCAATCGTGAGTGATTACGGAAGCTTAATTTTGTTCACATTAATCTGACCAATTTATTTAAATAGATTTTAAACGATTTATATCCAAGCAAATACCTGTTTCATACTGAGAAATCAGTTGTTCAGATTGAACTGACGCCTTTTTGGCAGCATGATAATTGATTTTTAATGCAATAGCTGATTTTGATCAGACTTTTTCGTAGATTTTTTTTCATCCATGTACTGACAATATGCATCGATCTTTCGAAAAAGCCCGATCAATAGTTTGTAGACTGTTTTCTATTGAAAACTTCAATTCTTCTAATTAGTATAAACGCCAAATGAGGAAATCTAAAATATTATTGCTTTGCTAATACTCAAGAAATTGAAATGTATCATTATTTTTTATTTTCGTGCAAGCGATGGAAAAGAGATTTTGACGAGAGAGCAATGCTTAATTTGAAGAGTCCTTATTCAGATTGTGATTGCTTCCACTAGGGACATCAGAAACACCAATACCTTTTCCATACGGCCAATAATATAAACTGTTGCTCGACGTAATCTTTTCGGGAAAAATTCGAAGTAATACATTCGATTTCCAAAGAATCTTTTGCCGATCTTTGGTAATCCTGACCAATCCTTTGTAATTCGTAGTAATCCTTAGTAATTCATAATAATCTTTAGTAAAACCTTAGTAATCGTCCATTTGGATTACTGTCCGATCCCACTCACCATTTTGTTTTGAGCAAGTTCAGTATATATAACCGACTGTTTGTAGGCCCCTTTCATGTACATTTTGAGATTAAAACTTGGATGACCAATATGTATTTTCATCCGACCCTTGGTAATCCAAATTAATCCTTAGTAATCTATAATAATCCTTGGTAATCGTCCAGTTAGATTATTGTCAGATGCCACTCATCGTTTTGGGTTGAGAAAAATTATATAAACATATTTATGTACATAAAGAGTTAGTTATTTTATTGTGTAGAGATGCGTTGAATGTTTGGCTTAGCTTTTCTGTTACTTTGGAAAATTGACCCTAAACGATTCACATTACAGTGGCAGGAGTGGTCCTAGATAATCTATGTTATTAATTAAAGAGGATGATAGTCGATCCCTGGTGATGACCTAGGAATGATCCTAGGTGATCGGTGCGAAGTGTCTAGGAATGATTCAAGCTGGATTGATGTGTTGTACCTAAGAAAGACCCTAGATGATTGGTGTGTTGTACCTAGGAATGATCCTAGATGATTGTCGTGTCGTACCTAATCGTAATGGGGATTATTTTTCAATCAAGATAATCCTGATGTGGATGATTCTGTAATCCTCAAAATCATAATATGGATTTTTGTTTAATCCGTATAATCTTAATGAGAATGACTTTGCAATCCGGAGAACCCGATAGTGGGTGTTTTTATAATTCGGGAAAATCTGTTGTGAATGCATTGGCAATCAAACCCAGGTCGAAAAATCTGACGCATGATCTTATGAAGCGCATGCACGATCTTCGAATACGGGCGAAATCTGACAAGAATTTGAGAAAAAATCGTAGTTCCTGAGATCTGAGATCAATTCGCACAATCAGATTCTTGAGAGATCTTACACATTAATACGATCTTTTAAGAATCTGATTGTGCGAATTGATCTCAGATCTCAGGAGCTACGATTTTTTCTCAGATTTTGGTATGATCGTGCAAGATCATATAAGATCAGATGCAAGATTATATAAGATCTTACAATATGATTGCTCGACCTGGGAAGGGATGTTTGGGAAAAGGAAATCTCTATGTAATCCGGACGAATCTTGGTTGAGCTGCATAGGAATCCGATGGAATCCGGTGGAATGTCGCAGGAAGTCTTTCTGTTTCGACGTTTGTCTATGATCGGATCCGATCATTTCCTGAAAGTTCCGATCATCGATTTCGACAGGAACCGATCGGATCCTTTTCCGGCGTAATCCGGGCCGAAATCCGTTAGCTAGGAATTCGCAGTAATACGGATCGGTTCCGGTCAGTTTTACTGTGAAACTCGTCGGATTCCGGTGCGATCCGATACCGGATCCTATCGTTTCTTGTAAGATGCGTAGGTCGGAATGAATCTCCTCGGTTACAACGCAAGAAAAGTCATATAGTCAAAAATCTTGATTGTCGTACTGAAAAGTTATAGGGTACAATACAGTATTTATAGATTTCGTCTATAATAAGAAGAGAATTTGCTTTTTATTGCTTTCAGTTGAAAAATAAAATCGATTCGTTTTGCTTTGTACGCTACAACAATGCGTGAGGATAGAATATTTCAATTCGTAGTCTTGGTGCCACTGAGAAATATCTGGTGACTTTCACGTTCGAATTATGTAATGAACAGTTTGATAAGATGGCGTCATATCAATGTGCTAACGTTGCTCTTGTGAACTTGTTGATCCACTGATAACATGAGTATCACCTCAATTTGAGCCTATAGTGATGTCAATCGTGCCAACTGGAATTGTATGTGTACACTGAAAAAAAAAGGTACCATACCGAACCCTAAAGGTTTCCGATTTTTGCAACCAAATCGAAATCCTTTGAGGTTTCGTAGAAATTGGATTTCGTAAAAAGCCATAATTTTAA